TACTATGACTTTTGTAGACATTTTAATGTCTATATAAGATTTCTATTGAAATTCAAGTAAATCCTGCAAACTTTACTTGCCTTAAAGTGAACATTTTCACAGCGATTGCAATACTCAAACAAAGCAATCGATTTGCAAGTACACATTTCCAAATTGCTAACAAGCGAGGGCTAATGCAGTAGCTGCGCAAATTTGCTAATTACCAGCGTGTAAATATTCATATGGAAAGTGGTCAGTGCGGTGGCGCTCAGCGTTGCGGACAGAGCGTCATATATGTGCTCACAACAAACAACAAATGAGTAATTTGCTATGCAAATACTAAGCGCAATATTTAGTGAATACGACGACGACAACAACAGCTATAACAACAAAACATGGCAAGCAATAATAGCTGAAAGCAAAAGCTACTTAAAAGCAACAAAAACTAAGCGCACACACGAAGAAGGCGACGAAGACGCGCAAATAACCACTTTAATGGCAGAACAAGAAACTCAAACAAAACAAACTTGTATACAAACAACAACAACAATGTCAACAAAGGTAGCAACAATATGCGAGTGCTTGTTAACTGGTTGGTAAGAACAGCAGCTGACACCGTTACAACTGGCACTTAGGCTGCACTGCTTGTATGTATGTAAATATGTGTATATGTGAAGTGTGTGTATGTATGCGTTTGGGAATGGCTGTGTATTAAATTATTCAATCTACTTATTGTCTGGCGCTTTAGTAGCCGCACTGCATGAAATCAACTAGCATTTGTGTGTGTGTGGGATCATATGTAGGTATATACATATGTGTGCGGAGTAGTCAATATGTAAATATATGTGTGCTTGTGCCGATTAAATCATGAATGAAATTTGCCCGCCATCTATTTACAATCCGATAGCAGCGCAAACACATACGCAAATAGTGTGGCACACACACACACACACACACACACACATGCAACAACATGCCTCCTAGTGCCAGCTGTCAAGCCAAACAAAAGTGAACGCATATTTACATGCATTACACACACACACACACATGCACATTTATAAGCAAATATAAGAAATTTTGCATAAGTGTTAGCGCCAACTACACGTGACTGCCGAGTGCGCATGTCACCCAGAAATCGCCGACTACGCAAATAAAACAAACAACGACTACGAGATGAAGAAGAAGAACAAGCGTAGAAGTAGCAGCAAATAGAAAAAAAACTATTAAACAAGCACACGTAAGCTTAACTTGAAGGCAGCAACAATGCAAAGACAAGAGAGCCGTCGGAAACTGTAGGAACTCCGAAGTGTTGCCTGCTTTTAGGCGCCAAAATGCGTTCACAACGCAAGCAAGTCCGCATGGCGTCCAAACTCAACACACCGACAACGCTTCCGTTCGCAACACAACGCTCTGCAGCTCAGTCGTTGCACGCTGCCGGCACTTCGTCAACGGCGAAGCAGCACGCTTCGGCATTGCGCGCAATTTCTTTTCTATGCCAACACTATGCATGTAGTTGTTGTTGTCAGCCGTCAATTTTTATGCGCCTAGCACCCACTGCCATTGTGGCCACAGCATAGCCAAGCAGGCGGTCGCTCAGCCAGTTGCATTGCGGCCATTTGCGTGGAAATAAGTCGCTCGCAGACGTCGCAGTCGCACGAAATACAAATTCGCTTTGGCGCATCGGATCGGCATTACGGCATTTCTCGGTTTGGCGCGCGAAATTTCCGGCAAGCGGCCAAATAGTCGCAAGCGCGTTGCTGGGCTTTTAAGGCATTAAGTGCGCTTAGATTTGACGGTCAGTGCACTGTGCCAGGCTGGCTAGGGAACGGCGTGTGTGTGCGGGTTTGCAGCAGCGGATTTTGTGCGCCGATACGCTTATTGCTTCCACTTGTTTTTTGCTGCCTGTCTCTTATACACATCTAGATGTGTATAAGAGACAGGTGCCAGGCTGGCTAGGGAACGGCGTGTGTGTGCGGGTTTGCAGCAGCGGATTTTGTGCGCCGATACGCTTATTGCTTCCACTTGTTTTTTGCTGCTGCTGCTTCGGGTTTTCAAAATCGTCAACATCAACTACTCAAATCAAAGCCAGTCAATAGTGGAAATCCAGTTTAAGTGATTCGACTTAAGAGGCTTGCAGAAAGTGTGTGAAAAATGTTCATATTAAGACGGCCATTGCTTTTGATTTGGTGGTGAGTTCCCGCTCGTAATGTTAATAATAATAATGAGTATTTGTTCGAATGGAAATGAGTTGCCATGCAATAAATTGGACTTGCAACTCAGTTGATTGAATTTTTTTTTTTTTTGCTTTTCGCTTTGAATGTTTGAAGCGTTAATCCACGCTCGAATTTACTGCTGCAAATTATAGTGTTTAATGGTGGCTTCCTGAGTGTGTCATTAGACGCTTAATGTGCAATATACAGAATTAAGTATTGCCGCCGATAAATGCAAGTGTTCCGCTATAAAAAGATGCTAGCTTGGTTTGATTTCAAATTTTAACCCGAATTTGGTGGTGAAAAATTTCCGGAATTTTATTTTCTAACCAAAAGTTAAGTGGAAATTTACAACTACCCAGTTTTGTAATTACTATAAGCTAAACTATGAAAATCAATAAAGTAATTCAGAAAATACTCTAGAAATTTTATGCTTGAAGCCCTTGCTTTCAGAGCGGCTCCCAAAGCTTTGTGTGAAACATGAATTTATGTTCAGCAACTGTTACAAAGATTATTTGAAAATAATTTAAAATTTGTGTTCTACACGACGAACTGCGGCACATTATTGGCTTAACAGTAAAATACAGAATTACCGTATTTTGAGTTAGAGCCGTTCTGAAGCGACCTTTCAGACACCACCGCCATCGAATACCCATAGGCCTTAATTTGATAAAGCGATTTTTCTTACGTAGAAATTTGAAAAAATTGAATTATTTTTAGGTGTCAGTAGCTCAAAAATTCAAAAATGTCACCTTAAACATATTTTTAAAACTTAAAAAATTGTTATTGAAAAAAGACCTACTTATTAATTTAAATTGATTTGAATTTTAATTAAAAACAAATATTTAAATAAATTAAAATGTTAATTTTTTAATTGCCCAAAATCACTTACGCATTAATTTTTTCCATATTTCGATAATAATAATACTATATATACACATTTAAAGTTAATCCGATCAATTAATTTTCTCTGCGTGATTTATACTCGTATATCGTCACTTCAAATGCAAAATACCGTAACATCACTTTTCATAAGCTTATTGGCGAAGGAAACACGATAAAACCGAAACCACTCACATACAAAACAAAAACGGACGTTAAATTCGATTACACCGAAGTTATAATACCCTTCAATATACAAAAAAGGCTTAAAAGCACAATATTCCGATTGTTCAGATTATATGACCATGTGCCATATTTTTCCGATCTGAAACATTTCTTCGAAGTTTATTGCCTCGTCAAATGAAAATGTTTCTCAAACAAGTAGTAGATTCCGATGGTTTAGTTTATATGGCAGCTATATGCTATAGTAATCCAATATCGGCGGTTCTAACAAATGTGCAGCTGTTTGTGAAGAAAAGAACGAGGTCAAAATTTTAGATCGATATATCAAAAACTGAGAAACTAGTTCGCGACATGGTTAAATCGGCTCAGCTCGTGACGTTGATGAATTCATAGCTAAATTTTTCTAGGGTCTGCGATGATTCCTGCAGTGTGTTACAAACATCGTCGCAGACTTACAGTAATAAGGGTATAAAAGTGAATGGCAAAAATACCAAAAATTTTTGTAATTACCCAAAATCGCTATAAAATCGGTTCAGGAGGCTAAAATACTCCTTAAAACATAATACGAAAATCCTACCAATTTTGAGGCGAACTTTAGGTCACTGAATATTGCCCAGAAATCCATCGGTTTACTGCCCTGGAAAGTTCATAGATGGTATGAGTTCACACCATTAAAACACATTTAGTGGATATACGCCTACCCAATAGTATCTGCTGCTACGATTAACCAGCTATGACTGACCACTTTGAAACCAACGTTGAAAAAATATATATGTATATGTACCAGTAACAATTTTTAAAAATATTTTTGAGAAAAGAACATACATACATACATATACCACTAAACAACAGCTCATAGCCGCAAAACAAAATGGAGATCCGAGAAAATAATTTGAAGATTTTCTATAAATAGTACCATCATTAAAAAAATGCATATTATTTACGTAGAAAATGGATATACTATATGTCGGCAAAATGTTATATTAACCATACATGATGGCTCAAAAATAAATTTTTACTTCCAATAATTATATTCACTTTCATTTAAGGAGTTTACTCGGGTAAGAAACACCTTTTATAACTCTATAAAAGATAATCAAAATGAAAAAAAATCGTGCTTTAGTTAAACTTTAACTCAGAACTTGAACGAAGTAAAAGAACTGAAAATTGGATTTTTGGCAGACATTTTTACAAAAACAAATAAAATTTTACTAATTTTTTTTCAAATAGTTGTAATGGAAAAAATTCTTCATCCACGTCCAAAGAATTGTAGCTCAAAGATCTGTGTCGAGAAAAACGCATTGAAACACAGCTGCTTACCCTAGCTAGCCTCGAGCATACAAGTTCTAAAAGCTGTATTTCTGCAACTAGAATTTCATAAGACAATAAAAATCGATTCGATTTTTTGAAACCCGCAAGCTCATGTAACCCCTTGAGACTTCTTTTGAGTCAATACGAACTTGGCAGTTTATTTTCTGTTTAGTCACATTCTAGTTAGTTTACAAGGCAAATGAGGAAAATGAAATATGCCAGAAACACCTTTCGGGCACAAAACATCAATCAAAATGTTTAGTGATCAAAAGCCTAGGAGGCTTTGATATTCTCTTGTACTAATAATACGATTTTCAAGGAAGTAGAGTTCTTAAAGCCCACATTACAAATAACATGATAAATTATTAGAGTTCTAGATTTTCCCGAATCGCGTTGCATTTGATGCAAAATTGAGAAGATTATATATTTATAAAGATGGCCGATAAAAGTTCCAAGGAGTGGTAACTATCGTCTCTAAATAAAGTAAATTACACAATTTACTGATTTTAATTGAATTTTAAAGCACATCATGCTAATACTGTTCACAAACGGTTCTCATTCATGCGCCAAAAAATATACCGCTTACAATACTAGTTCAAATACTTGTATTTTGCTGTTTAAGTAATTCGAGAATATTTATTTTAGTATCCTAAGATTTTAAATATTTAGAGTCTAGAAACCTAGAAAATTTGTTGATGTGCTAATGAAGATAGACACGCAATTTACGCCGCTCAAATTATAAACCTCAACATGCAGTGTTTGCCTTAGATATGTATAAAGTAGCCAAATAATATATCGAATATGAACGACACCCTCGCAAAGTTAGGTATATATTTTGACAACAGAGGAATCCACACTGACCATCTATATACGACTACACGTCTACACACTACATGCTACTGTCAATGTCTTCTTAATACTTCACTTATCAGCGAAGCAAAAAGTTCTAATCAATCGGTCAAAGGACAGTCATCCTTATTGGCCTTGACATAATCTGGTTAAACGTTGTTGGCCAATGTGCGGCATTTCGCAAATGATTCAACCGTTTAATTGCTACATTACAGTTACTATGAATTTATGAAATCATGCTGGTAGTCAAACTTTAAGCACGCTTGATGCAGCCCGCAGCATGTACTCTTCGCTTGCGATAATCGCCAGTTCACCAATCAGTCGCAATTGTTGTACAGCAACAAAGATTTCCTCACAAATTCAATTTAAACAAAGTAAATTTGTACTTTCAACTCTTAAGTTATGGCTTCTGACGTAGTTATTTTCATGAAGAGGGAAGGCGGGTTCAGCTGTTTTATAGTCAAAATTAAATTCATAAAATAAATCAGGAAACATTTTGAAATTCTTAATAAGAGAATATCGTATTCTACAGTAAATGCTCCCCCTGCGGGTAGGGGGGACCCCTCCAGGTCGAAGGGAAACCGAATATACCCGCGGCAAGGCATGCCTGTCGTAAGAGGCGACTATAAGCCATATGCACTATGTCAGGCTTTAGAGACCATGTTTTGATGTCAACATGGTCTAAGTCAGATAAGTGCTATAATATTCAGCTGGAAGTCAAATTCTAAGCTTTATATTTATATCTCAAAATATAAGGCATTTGTCACAGCTACAAATGCAACCAGTCATTGAGTTTATACGGGAACTCAACTGGAAGTAGCAAATAGTTACAAAGTCAGACCAAAGATTATAACCTGGTACCACGGGGAGCAGTAAGCCCTTGGAGGTAACTCCAATCTGCTCATTGGGTTTGGCCCTTTGGGGAGATTCGTGGTGGCTGTGGTTTATATCTAAATGCAGGAAGGGCATTTTGTCCAATGTGGAGTCGCACTGCGGCCGGGTGCCCGACCCAAAGTACGGCAAGGGTTTTAGATGGGCCTCGTACCCGACCAAGGTGACTAAGGTGTCCCTATCCACCCGAACCAATTGGAACCAAGGAGTAAATGCAAAATTAATTTATGCTTTGGGGCGCTGATCAACGCATTGTATTGATCTACGTGCTTSTAGCAATAGAAAGCACCGTGGAGTTTAGTCTTTCATAGACAGGTATTCACGTTAAAACACATTGACTCTACACAGTAAATGCAAGCAACTTTTCGAAGAAATTATTCTGACAGATTTTCTTGCGATTACGTCCTTATTAAATCTTTATTGAATCTACTATATGTATATGTATTAGGTCTACAATCATAATCGCTTGATTTGTTGTAGATTGTGTAAGTGGATTGCACTAGTCTACAGTCATTTTTCGACTGTGATGTTAGACACTACTCCTATTTGTTTTCTTTTTTTATATAAAGCCAAGAGCATGCACAAAGAAACTTGTAATAGAAATGCGTGTTATTGTTTAAGGGAGAAAAAACAGCATTCTTCAAGCACTTTTTTCTGATTTACAAAATGAAGTACTTTATTATAATATTTATTGTTAAAAATATAAAATATTAGCAAAGATATACTTAAATTTAAAAAAAAAAAACAGAAAATTTAGATTTTTGACTGTTTTTTGAAATTTGTAGTGAAAATTTCGTGACATTTTGTTGCTTTTTCAAATAGTTGTAATTGAAAAAAATCCATCGTCCAAGTTTTTAAGAATTGTATCTCAAATATCTGTGTAAAATCTCGCGAAGAATCTTGCTTAATGATTTCAAAAACACAGTATCGCTTAAAAACGGCGCATTTGCCCAGCTAGCCTCGAGCGCACAAGTTCTCAAGGCTGTATCTCCGAAACTAATACTCGAATCATCTTTAAGACAATATTCTACAGGTGTTGTAGAATTTTATATGGCGAAATCGATATTTTGAAACCCTAAAAATCGCGTAACTCCTTAATAAAAGAAGCCCTAAGGTAAGAAAAATCACTTAAAAGTTTCTCAGAAATCGAATTAAACGAAGTTAAAGGGAAAATCTGAGATATATTGAAATAAATTTTTCCTAACATATAAGAATAGTCAAAACAAATGAAAGACACAGAACGGATCGTCGATATTTAACCGTGCTGTTGATAAACCATTTATAGAGTAATATATCCAAAATATTAAACATTTACGGCGAATGATTCTGGCTTGGAAACGAATAACGCTTTGGCGGCCAAACAATTTTGAAGGCGAGGGCCTGGCGGAATCTCATTTATCGATGAAAATTATAGCCAAACATAAGAAGAGCTCGCAGAATCGTTGTGAGTCAATCAAGCAGTCTGTAACCAAATCAGCTAATGACAACAACTCATCAAACTGAAGTAAGCGATTGCCGAAAAATTTTCGGAATTTGTGACTAGGCACGAGGCAGTAACTTTCCATCAAGACAATGTTCGACCTCATGTTGCACGACCGGTTAAAAACCTGCCTGGGATAACTGATATTCAGTGTTGAAATCTCTTGATTCTTTTACATTTGACTCAAGCAGCTAACGGCGAGCTAAAAAGCGAAAGCGAAAAATCCTTTCACTTTTCCCGCTATGTTTCGAACCCGTCACGTATGAAAACAACTCTAATGAAAACATTAAAGCAAAACAATAAATAAAATATTTATAAAAACTATTTGCTCTACAGTTGAATTTCAACCGATATAAATTGGAACAGTGGTATTTATCTTCAGACCAAAGGCGATAAGCTCCGACTGATGCATTGAAAATCAGATTCAGGGAAAATTCTGGGTTAAATTCAACTGAAAGCTTTCTGAAGAGATTTTTGAACAAAAATGAAAAGAAGTAGAGATAACCAAAAGGGAAAGGATGGATAAAAAATAGTTTAAGGTCTTTATATATATTTTTAAGAGCGTTGTCTCTCATCTGTTTATAAATTTCGATTCATTTCGAAAGGCATTTAAAAATGAAATATGAGTGCTGAAAAGTTGTCTAGGTAATAGAAAATAAATTTTGGTTTCATTTTTTTTTTTTTTTTCAATTCTGGCCATAGAGAATAACATATCAAGAGGAAACTAATACACCGATAAAGACTAAGCAAGTCGAGTCTACATGGAATTTTCGAAATACAGTTAACATATGAACCGATAAGCAAAGCGATTTGCACTCATGACAATTTAAATGGGATCAGCAACTGGGTGGATCAGCGGTGTAATCGGTTATCCGAACCAAAGGACTTACCAAATAAATGTGTAAAAAATATGGACATGCTGAATACGAAATTCGCACCCCATAATGGGAGAGAAGTAGTTTTCTTTATTTTCACTAGCGATAGCACTCTTTAGGAAACTCTTTGAATGTAAAAAAATTCCCAGCGATATCAAAGTTATATGCCTATATCTCATTCCTATCGTTCACAGTGTGCATTTTAGTTGGTTGTTGGCTTTATTACATTATTGATTAATAAAAATCACAATTACAACAACAATGCACCAGCATATTCAAACCAAAAACAAAAATTAGGTTCTGCTACAACACTTAACCTAAACAAAGCAATGGTTGACAACAGCGCGGCGATTGTGCTAAGACAGCAAAATATTATAGACTGCAGTGTTTGCTGCAAGTGCAACAGCAACAACCACAACAACACTAGGAACACGCTGTAGCCAACAGCAGCAACACATGCCAAAGAGATTTGCACCAGCGACGAATCGAACGGCAAGCGGATGTGTTGCCGCTGCAGGCTGACATCTTAGGCACATAATTACAAAAATATGCCACACACACACACACATTTATATGCACTTGTACGTATGTATTGATGTGTGCATGCCTATAAAATAAACCCGCATGTTCGCTTTAGTAAATCAGTCAACTTAATGCAAATGAGTACGTCACTATTACCGAGTGTGTGGTGGCATTGTTTGAACGCTTAAGTGTACTCATATACACCAATACACATGTTGGCATGTATGCATGGATATGCGTGTATGTGTGCTTAGCACTAGAAATGTGCGCTCTGCCTTTTCTTTGGCAACGGCAGATTTTAGATTCGAGATTTAAAATTATTGAATATTAATTATCGATTTGTGGTGCGGCAGCTGTCTCAGCATTGTTTGTGCCGCTCTGCGTTATGAGATCTAGCAGCGCTTACCTACACATACATATGGCTGTGTACTACACAATTAGAATTAGATTTGGAGCAAAAGCACAGTGACAAGCAATGAAATTAAAAGCTTGATGGCTGGCATACTGGCAAGAGTGTAACCATACGTCCATAACTATGACATTTTGAGCTTTGCTATTTTGTTGTTTTTGTTTGGTATTGACACTTTTGACGTAAGCAAAACACTATACGCTTAATTAAATGCATTTTTGTCACCCCATTCATTTAGCTTGCTTTCTTGAATTTGCTAAGCAGTCAAGTGTTTAGGTAAACATTTATTAAATAATGCAAAATTTAATACTTAAAGAGTACGTAGTTGAGATTTTATGTGGGAAGACAGGAAAAAGTGTAATGAAAGCTTAAAAAGTAACTGTACCCGTATTGAAGCGAGGAAGGGCTAAGTTTGGGTGCAACCAAATATTATAT